TTAGGACAGTACGGTACATCACAACATTACACGGCCCACGTGCGTGTCTAATGTCAATGTTTGCACGACTTTCTGCTCTTCCTACCGCAACTTTTTAAAATGACAGGTGTACATGTATCTGACCTCTCTTTCTGGGTCACTCTCATTACGTAAATTACATGTAGTAGGCCTACACTTTTTAAACATTAAACATTTACTAGGTGTTGTTGCTAAGGCAGCATTCCCGTAAGACGCAAACTCATGTTGGAGGTTTTCCAATCAAACCGTGCACCAAAATACATGCACGCGTATGCTATGATGCTGAAGACAATGTATGGACAGGTGTTATTTGTGAGGAAACCTTGCTCACTGACCTATTGTCAAGAACTGAAAAGAAAAAAAAAATTCCAAAATTCAAGCAAATTTTAGTGTAAAAATACATGTAGCTGTTGCATTGACAATTTCCTTGAATGAATACATCTTTTCTCACAAATACTGCTATAAAGAATTTGCATTAGCATAAAATCAAACAGTACATCAAATACTACTATAGGGAATTTGCATGAGCATAAAATCAAACAGTACATCAAATACAACTATAGAGAATTTGCATTAGCATAAAATCAAACAGTACATCAAATACTACTATCTTAGAGAATTTGCATTAGCATACAATCAAACAGTACCAAAGTGTCCTTAAAAGAGCACAACAAAAATTTCAATATGGTTCAATGGAACACAAAGGAATATTTTGCAAGAACTGCACAAAATGAACTGTATCGTCTGGACCATTAAAATCTTCCTCAAAGTTACAAAATACCTTGCTGTTCTGATACTGCACATGTACTTGTAGGGGACCACTGGACCTGTGTTATGGTACCTTCGTGCATAAATTATCATAAATTAACAAACAAAGTTTCATTGCATTTAAACCTGTGTTTATCTGAAAAACCCCATTTAAAATGTAGGCAATAAAAAAAGGGTGTGAGTTGCCACACACCGAAAGCTGAAAACAGCTGGCAAAAACTCAAACTTAAAAGTTCCCATATTATAATTTTATACAAAGTAGACCTGTGTGCAAAAAAGTGAACATTCTTAAGGTAACAGACAAAAATCTGAAACCAGATGAAAAGCTGAATTCTCACATCCCCGATAAAAGCTGGCCTTCATGTACATGTACATACATGCATATGTACACCGAAGCTTTTAATTTTGTGATGTCCCATAGATGCTTACAAGTGCTCCGCAAAATAGCTTGGACTTGGCTGTGACAGTTAACTCTACATTCTTGTAAAAACTGACCCCACACAAAGGGGATTACAATGCCTGTGTCCACATTGTACATATGTACATGTACATGTATAATTTCTTTCATCATGTACATGTAGTCCATCATCCCATGTTTGTATGGAGCACCATATGAAAACCAATTAATTACCCTAGTTGGGCAAACCCTGGGTGGAGAAATTTAACTTACGAGTAAATGTTTCAAATGTGCAACTTACATAAAATATAAACCTCTGTAGCACAGTGTACATGTATATCATTAAACGTACATGTACATGTATATTACATGCATATACATGTACTTCACTGTTGGTGCATGTACATGTTAGAAAATACATGTACCGGTACAACTGTTGTTAGAAACATAGGGTTATACATACGTGGAGCAAATGTACATGTACATAATACTGTACAAAAACCGGGGGTACCAGTATTTGTGCAAATTCTGGGAATATTGACGAGTACAATGAAGATATGAAACAATGGAAAATTCTGTCCATACAATAGGTACACGTACATGCATTTGTATGCATCTGTCAAAAATGTATCATTAGTAATTCTGTGAAATCAATAGCAAAGTCCTGAAATTTAACCTGGCTACTGACAATCCACAAGGATAAGGTACCCTGGTACAGTTCAGTACACAGGCTATTATGTATCAAGCCTGTGTGCTGCATGATAATTGCTTACTGTAATGTTTCTCATTGTGTTCTGGTAGGTACGCTAGGAACACGTGCTGGCTCTACACATGGAAATGTCATTAGAAGTTAGAACAGCAAAAGCCTGCAGTTCTCTTGTCACTTATTAAGACCACATTCATGACAATACTGAAAGATGAAAAATCACAATAAAACAGACATGTTGCGAACTTGCAATTCTCTGTTGAATGTCGAGAAGTACAAAGACCATGCTACTCACACATACAGAAGATGTGTTCTGATGCTGAGAGAGAAGTGATATTTTCATCCGTAATAATTGTTTGTGGAGCGATGATTAAGCCTACTTGTATGTGTACATGCTAATGTGGATCCAGCGAAATAGGGGCACCATTGAACACCTTGGTTCAAAACAGTTAATCTCCCCAAATCACAGCTTGTGCTACATGTATGTGAATGCAAACAAACTGTCTTGGTGCAAACAGCAAACAAAACATGTACAGGTTGATGACAAGACGCTGGCCTTAACGACAACAGTAATCAGCCCTAACTGGCCGTTACTCCAAACATGCGAATTCATGCACAGGTGGTGGCCTAAATTAGCGCCCTTCATTTGACAATCAATGATGTGCGCTGTACAGGGGATGAGTCACGTCAGCTAAACCTGGCAATGAACCCACGGGACGTTGGGAGGAGACTCCGACAGAGACCACTACCATCTTAATCGGCATCATCCTCAGTACATCCCTGGGTGGACGGCATAATGTTGGCTAAATGAGCTCGCACTTGACTCCTTGACAGATGGTCAGAGGGCTAAACAGTGGTATCATGGTGTATCTCCACAACAATGAGATGGCAGGAACCCGTTCATGAATGAAATGATGTGGATTATCAAAGGTCATCATAAAGTGCATGACAGTGTGCATTTAATTTATACAGGGTATAAGTTAAGGTGTATTTTCAAGGATACTTATACCAGTACATCTAACGATCATGTATGCTACCTGTACAAGTGTACATGTAGTGAGTACATTTCTTCCATTTGATGCATGATTTGCCAGGTTATCCGACCTGCCAATGTCTGTTCATCATTCATCCAATCAGAGGTCAACTGACTCAAATAAACAGACATGTACATTTACACACAAATGTGGGTGTTCAGGTGTTCATACTGGTTGCAAATATTCTGCAACACAGGCAGTACTCTTTGGTCACTTTAATCCCTAACTGCCCAGGCCCTTTTGGCTAGGAAACACCCTCAATCCTTCAAAATCCTCCAACAACCACCATGACAAAATTGGATACAGCCTCAGTCCTCCAAAATCCTCTGATATTTCTTGAATATGTTCTGTGGTGGGGTGCCCACTGCCTCAATACTCCAAACCCTCCGGCAGTTCCTCTCATTATGTTGAGGCAGGGTTAATGGTATCCTAGAGCCGTACGGAAGATTACACTACATTAATATGTGTATAAGAGTATAATGTAAACATAAATTTATGCATGGCTGAACTTAAACAACACAAGGTCTACCAGTAACTCTCAACTTTGAGACAATGCATCCATCACAATCAGCACTGCAATTTTGCCATGTAGCCTCAAGCTTTCAAAATCTGTCAAACCTGCACAGAGAATTTTAAAGGATTGAGGATGGTTAGGGTTCAATGCTTTTTCCCTGCCTTCGTTACTTGAGATACATGTAATGGTACGTGCATACATTCAACATTGTACATGTACAGACTGTGTGAATGTACATGTACATGTCTATGTTTGAGAGGTTGTTAGACATTCAGAGAATTTAGTTACTGGATGACTAACAAACTTGACTCTACACTGGGATTGTGCTCCAAGTCAACTTAGTCAAGTATACAAAAGCTCTACATTCAACTGGCAGTCTCCCAATTTGTCAATCTCTTTGTTCTAGCCAGAAGTCACATGAACCCAGGCGTGCTGTGTGGTCAGGAATCATGCCAAATACAGTACTGTAATGCATGCAGTGAAACCATAGGCTGCCAACATGGGAAATGGTTGTCATGGATCCCTCAAGGAGGATGCAGACTTTTATTTCAAAACAATATTGCATGAAACCACAAGGGAAACTGACCTGCTCATTTGCCTCGACCAGGGCACAGACACCCTTGTCTCTGAGCCAGAGAAATGTTGGTACACCCTTCTATCCATATACTTGTACCTATACAGTCAAGCAAACTTAGCAGCCTGACCTCATTCATCGCTGTACTGTCAACACTTATTAAACAGAAGAATTGAACTGTTTGGGCAACATGTACATGTACGGTGTACATGTACTTCATACTTCTGTCACACTGTCAAGGTGGTGGCCAACAAATATGGGGATGTCTGAATTTTTAAAGCAGGTTGATGTTTGGAATGATTTCGAACCGCCATGTAAGCATTTTCAACGAGATGTTCCTGTACTCTGCAATTTTTCTGATATTGGATGGTATCTCCAATTTCAGCTTGTGTAATGGACAGGCATTGTTTAGGAAATTAAGACTAAAATAAACAATTTTTTTCAAAACCACACAAGAGTTTGTGTACAGTCTACAGTGTTTTTTTTTCAATTCTAAATTAATGGCATACATGAGAGTGAAAACCGATCAGAGGAAAAGTTGAATGTTTGTGAAGCCTGAAGGATGAACCCAGTTGGTACAGATTTAGTAAATAACATGAGTTTCCCCATCAATCCACTTCAGTCATCAAAACATATTTTTCTGAAGGAACAATTTGCACATTCAGTTTTGATTTCAACCAAATATTATTAGCTTTTGATAACAGTTTCAGTTGCTTTTCGGCATATTCTGCATAACTCTTTACAAGAAACATGATAAAATTAGGTATGCAGTATGCTAATGATAAATGTTGGTGATGATGGTTGGGGCCTACGGTACGTTGAACTTGAAGATTAAAAGATCACTTTTTAAATGTACTACTAGGCTATTTACAAACATTAAGTGGTTCTGGTAGGCCTATAGTATCAGCTTCAACTGTTGGATGGGCCTAATCCTAAATTCATGGACATGATGGATAGGCCTATGTAGTATGTTTAACAGTTAAACTTACCGTTTTTGTGTTTGGACTTTTCGGACCACCTCCACTGTCATTTCTTCTCCTCGTATCCAACAAGCCTTCCCCACCACCGACATTTCGGCTGTTTGTACCAAACTGGCTTCCTGAGCCAGCACCGCAGCTTTTCAAGTCCACTGTTCCGGTCCCGTAAGAGGTCTGGCTGCTAAATCGGAACCTTTCCACGGTGCCGCCGTGCGGTGTCGGGGAGCTCCCCCTGGGTGAGGTCTCGTTCGACATACGGAACACTCCTCCGCCGCCCAGTTCATCCTCGGAGTCGCTCATAGAGCTCTTCGTTCTCCGCTCCCCACCCTGTTTGTCGGTGTAATCTCGCTTTGGAGGGTTTGGGGCCTTCTTCCCCTGAAACTTTCGTAGCAGCTTTTCCATTTTGGATGCACAGATACTAACCTTGAATGGAGAATGCGTCGAGTTTTCACATAATCATGATAATACACTCTCCGTGTCACAGTTTTCCTACCCAATATTTGCTTTCATCGGTAGCTTTTATATGCGGCTGAATCATTTCCTGGATCCACGTAGTCTGCAACGACGATGCAGTGTAGTATTGTTAAGTGATCCGGGGGTCTGAAACCAGATCATTTTAGTTTTGATGTTGAATCATGGGTAAATTAGGGCACATCTGAACGCAACATGGCGGCGCCCATGAACTCGAACGGTCGTCAAGCTCAATCTGGCGTATTGTGCAAACAGGCTTAAGAAAATAAACCTGTTAAAACTAAAAGTGAAATGTCATTAATTCATGTTGATATTCTTTTCGTCAAGAGTTTGTTTATAATATCAAACACAGGTGTGTATTGAATATCAAGCCCCTTTTTCGTGTTTTTTTCGTCATTTTTTTGCACTCACCATCATCATGCTAAGCCTATTTAGTATTTGCACTGCTAACAACTAATGTGAAGTTGGTTTAGGCTAGTTCTTTTGGCATGTTTGCCTTCTTAGCTTAGCCTTAGGCTTGTAGCGTTCATTGATTAGATAATAATATTGAGGTTATGCACCTTCTACAAGCATAACAAAGCTCCAGTGAAATTCAGTCATGGCATGATTTTCCTTTGGTTTTTTTTTTTGGTGCGAATGAACATGAAGAACTCATGTCTTTAAACAGGTGTTCAGGAATAGGAAAATATATTTTTTACAAAACTTGTAATTTAATGAGATATTGGTATATTAATGAAGGTGTTTATCAACTTTGAAGAAATTCCTAACTGTTAATAATGTGAGCTTTTCTGACATGTCTGAGATTTGTTCCAATGTGCCACAGTAATATTATAAGTATGGAGCCCTCAGCTGAATTTGTGTCCAATTACCAGACCAGATGCCACCATTTTGAATTTTGGACTAAATTTCATAGCACTGATATTGTTCACAGAAGTTTAACACCATTTATTATGAAGGTACATGTAATAGGACCAGTATTTTACTGAATGAATTGGTAGTTTAAAACAAAGAGGTACATGTATGGCAAGGAAAGTCAAAGTGTGCCATGTTAGGAGACTCCACTGTACTTGAAAATTTGGTCGTGTTTCATCAATACGGGCGTTTCGCAAAAGTGCGCCTCTAAGAGTTTGCAACACGTTGGCTAATCATAATGCTTAAAATCTGTTGACCCAATGCGAGTTTGGAAAAGGTCGACAAATATCGCTTGTTGTGATTGGCCGATGCGTTGCAAACTCTTGGAGGCACACTTTTGTGAATTGTCTGTACTCATCATGGGCACATATCATATTCACATTGTTCATGCATGGAGCTGTCGAAAGGATATTGTGCTATGTTGCCACTGGACATGGTTTATAACCAAGGGCGGATCCAGGGATGGGGGGGCGGCAGGCACCATGCCTTCCCTCAGGAGAAAGTTTCTTTGAAAAATGAGAGTATTGTAACTTTTAGGGTGTCTATAGGCTTGCTTTCCAGAAGTTCATAAAAAGCTCAAAAATTTTGGGCTCCCTTAGAGAAAAATGTGGCTTCCTTCAAAATTTAGCTCTGGATCCACTCCTTTGCAAAATGTAACAAATTTTCTGTAGAAAACCAATTAAAGCTTTCAGTGGATTACCAGCAAGCAGAGAGACATCAGCTGCATTTTATTGCATTTTTGGAGACATTTTCAATCATTTCTGAAATCGAAAGGGTTTACTGACTTTGTACAAAACCTCCAGAATACAGTGTAAATCTAGTCTTTCTAGCACTGAAGTTACGACAAGGAAGTTGAAGGGAAGAAAAAATTGGAAGACACTGTTGGCAGATGAAGTGATAACGAGGTTGACTTGGGATTTCCTTATTTTTCCTGACTCCAGTTTTACCTCCATGTTTTGATATTTTGTTGTGTAGTCTGTATGCTAACATCACATGTTAGTTGATTCGATAAGGATGTGGAAAAGGATGTTGGCAAACTTTCGTTGTTCCCATGCAAATCCACGTTTTAAAGTTGCTTTCTTTGATTTCTACACCACCACGTACAGTTGGTGAACACATTGCCCACTGAAAGTGAAAAGAAAGCCTTTCATCATGTCAGTGATGCCATGTTCTTTTGGATTTTCTGAGAAAAAGAAAATATGATTTCAAAACTCAGCAATTTGTGATGAGATTTCATGATGTAATTTTGGTCTTGTTTGGCTTTTTTTTTAGATTTGAATATTTCTCTTGACAGTTTCAACTTTGTGTTTACTGATGTCATTATTGTTTCAATGGTTTTGTGTTCCAACGTTTCCTCTCCCTACAATTAAAAATGTACGATACATGTGTCATCTGCCATCATACGTATATTTAATCCTTTTTAATTCTTAAATATAGTTAGTGTGTTTGAATGTTCTTATTATCAGTTACACAATGACCAATTTCAAACTAAACGTGTCAATTTTTCAACAGGGGCAAGAGCGAGTGTGGATTGATAATAGGTTCCCACTTAGCCAGTCATTTCAAAATGTCTGTGACACTCCGGCGGTTAAATTCCTGCACTCGACGGTTTGCAGTCTTCTTGGTACACCACCCTGTTGCGTTCTCCTCTTTTCAGACATGGAGATGGGTTCACACGTGTGTTCGTCTTCTTCGGAAAGAGCAGCTGAGTAATAGACGCTGTGCATGTAGTTTCTCCATTGCGGGCCGATTAGAACATTTGTCAAGGAACTGTCATGTACATTTTCAATCAGGCTGCTTACTTCAGCAGCCAGCCAAGTCATTTTCTAACTTTGGTCCTCAAGTGCAAAAGTCAGACACCGACCATGGAAAGGGCAATGATTGTGTAAAAGAGTACTCCACGATCTACCGTTTCCCGGCCATGAGATTTCTGCGGGTTGTTTCTCGCTTCAAGATCGCACAGACTTTTTTCACTGTGGGCATCATGCCTCCGATGTGGTATCTATACACAGTGGGAAGGATTGCTGAAACTCAGCTCATCTACTCTCTCTCCGTGGCAACCTTTGCCCTGGTGATGCTGTACGCCATGAGTTTCTTCCTTCGCTGTATCATCGGGTTCATCTACCTCCACCGCAACCGGGACAGCATCAAGGTAGCTCACATGACCTTCTGGGGGAAGAGACGGGACCTGACTATTCCAGTGGCTGACGTCATGCCCATTGGAGAGACCAGGGAAAAGACTCGTGATATTCTCATCAAGTTGAAACGTTACAGCACCAAAGAAACATTATATTTCAGTCTTAAGTATGGCTGGGTCACTGATCGAGAGGGTTTTTGTGAGGTTTTTGGAGACTTTTAACTTTCAGTGTCCAAAAAAAACACCCCACTTCTTTGTTTGAAGTGAACACAGAAAGAAAAGCACTGGAACCCTTCAAGAGCAAGATATGAAATATTCCAAATTGGGAATTGATTTGACAGAAACAGGATTTCAGATTAAGAAATAGTTATTGGGACCAAGTGCATCTACATGAAGAATTGAAAAGAATCCCAAATTGTTCTGTTATAATAGTTTTTACATAACGAATGCTTGATAACGTGAGATCCATGTGAACATATATTGTACATGTGAAATTTTGGCAAGGGTTTCTTAAACAAGCATCCAGTTTTAAGTTTTTAAACACCTTAAGACTGGTGTCTCCTGTGCTCGAAAGCAATCACAAGTGTCAATTTCTGACACAAGATCCAATATTCGCACTGCAGTCTTGCACAAGTTGAAGACATTTCAACTGAAGCGGAAGTTTGCTGCAAATCTTTCGTAACGTCAAATTTGATTTGCTTTCACAGTGGCCTGTAGTATGAACTGGCCTTCAGTTTGGGAATTTCAAGACATTCATCTATCAATTTCACTTGCCTTCAAAGTCAAGGCCTGGCTGCTTCCTTTTCAGGCCTCCGACTGTAAAGCTGCAGTTCAAAATCGGCCTATCTTTGTTCAGCCATTGGCCAACAATCTTGAAAATATAAATACATTCAAGATCAGGTTTTGAGTATGTCAGTAGCTAGGTTTGCAGTCGCACTCCCTTACGCTGTGTCACTAACTCGGCTCCATCATAATTGTTTTAAACACTTAAAAGTAGCTCTTTGACTTCATAGCCTAAGCACTTTGTAGGACAGCACCTGTGTATAAGCTGATTAATAGGCTGAAATAATTTCTAATTTGTAAAATGCTTCAACAATTGCAGAGTATTTAAACAGTCTGCATGATACGTTTGGCTTGTCAGCTTCCGCAGGGTGGATTGAAAGTTGATGTTGAGGAAATAAATGTGCATGTTCTAACTGGCATGGGAAAGGCTATTATTTGGTTTTCAAGTCATTCAACACCTATGATTTCTCTGCCTTCCACAAGATTTTATGGAGTCTTCTATCACTGCATTTTATAAAGCTTATTTACTTAATACAAAAATATTTCAACAATTCATCGACCACCTGCAAGTGATTCAACCCAACAGGGAACTTTTGTTACAAATGTATTACCTGTAAGCTGCTTTTAAAATGCCAGTAATGTGCATCAAGATCAAAATTGATTAACAATTTTCTGAAGTTCAAGTAAACACTTAAAGTTTTGAATTCAATAAGGAGGGGCTTTATTTTTATATGAGCCTTGTCTATAAATGGACTTTTTAAAACCAGTTATTTCAATTTACTACCATGGACACTAACTTCTATACACCTGAATTCACTCAGACCACAGAGCTGCATATAGCGGAGAGAGTGGGGGGAACTTCAGACTTTAGAACCAAAATGGCTGTTCATTAGCTTATCCATCATTCCGGTTCCTCGGCTGACCCGGTACCCAGCCACTGAAAGCTAAAGAGCGCCACCAATACTGTGCTGCTTTATCAAAAGAGGGCGCACTATTGCAGTGGCTGTCAGAGCCAGCGATGTTTATGGGTGCACTGAACTAATTCAAACTCCATTGAAAATAGTGTAAAA